GTGTCGTCCTTGTGCTGATGCAGCCACTGCAGGACGAGCGACATGGTGGTGCCGTCCACGTTCACCTTGATCGGTTTTTTCTCCTCCATCTCCTTTTTCATCTTCTCATCTTCACTGGGCTTAGAAGGCCCAGCAGCAGAAAAAAATGAACTGTTGCTGGTGGAAGCTTTGTTGCTTCCAGTGGTCGTCGAAGATTTACCATCCTTCTTTAAATTGGCATCATTGCCACCGGTGAAATCGAGCATGTCGCGAAAGAGGCCGATCAGGTTGGCCTGCTCCTCTGACAGCTCAAAGATCTGCCCGTCGGCGGTTTCGATGACCAGCGCTGGAGTAGGAGGATCAGAGGAAGTTGAAGCTGAAGTGGAAGCCATGTTGATNGTTGAAGCCATGTTGATGGTAGTGGTTGAGATGGATTAGAACAGATTGGGCTCGGATTTGGAGAAGAGAAAAATAAGGAGAGGAAGACGAGCTGTTGTGTTGATGTTGGTCGCAGTTGCGTCAAAAGAGCGAACGAGCGAGCGAACCAGAAAAAAAGAGTGAAAATAGCGGCGAGAAGGAGCAGTTGGTGAGTGCTGTTGCTGTTGCTGCTGACTTTTAGCTTTGCCAATGCAAAAGCTGTGGTGGTGCGCTTGGCAGGCAGTGCCACTTCTATGACTTCAAGTTACAATGTGTCCATTCACCGGTGCAGTACAGCAATGGCGTTAATACAGCCACTGCTGCGACCCCTGACCGACGTGCCAGTCTTCTTCAGTCACATCGACAGTTTATTTCTTGAAACCAGGTTGCTCGATCGCAGGCAGATACAACTGATAGCGGCACAAAACTTTGGTTTAAAATGCTCTCTGAAAGTCGCCACTTCAACCGCCTCTAAGTTTTAATTTAAATTAAGTATTAAGACCAGAATTATAGGCCAAAATTAGATGCAGAAATAGTAATCAAGTAAAGGAATAAAATGATAACAATGTTTGCCCAATTATGCAGCTCAAACAGGCTGCTGCTGCTGCTGTATCAGCAACAAGTGTTGCAGCAGCAGCGGAACGCAACGACGACAGTGGTTGCAGCAATACGTTAGAACGCCTACGTACAGTGTGACTAGATCACCAAGCGTGCAACTAAAGCACGTTTTGTTTTTATTTTCTTCAGTCAACCTATGTTTTGTCTGAGAATCAGTTCAATCCAGTAAGTAAATCACTTTTTGTTCTGTGTTTTTTTGTTTTATTTACCCGTTTTTAACTTTCTACCGCATCATAGGTAAATTCCGTTTACCATCTAGTTGAGCTAGGAAGATGTCAACACCAAACGGCGCCCTCAATTCTTCAAACAACGACTGTTGTGACAGCAGAAGTAGTGACAAGCCTGCTATTGATTTGCTTAACTCGGAGAAAGTGGCCATTCTCAGCTGTAGTGCCCAGCACTCTCCCAAACTCATTGACCGAAATGTGCGTGAGTTAGAAGTCGAGACGCAGATTTTGCCGTTGAACACTTTAGTTAAAGAGCTGCTCAAAGAACAGTACAAGTAAATGGCCAATGCCTGTTGTTTACTGTTAGGTCATTTCATCTAACCAACCACCTTTTATTTTAGGGCAATCATTATTGCTGGCGGCCCAGGTTCAGTGTTCGCCGAGGATGCCTTGCCGTACGACAAGGATATTTTTACAACTGGTATTCCCGTTTTGGGCATTGGCTACGGATTTCAAATGATTAACAATCACTTTGGCGGTTTGGTGGGGGAATGCAAGGAAGAACACAAAGATTCTGCCCAGTTGACCATTATTGTAGACAGTCAGAATCTTCTCTTCAGGTGAACCACTGTTTGACACTGTTTTTGCATTTTTTCATCTTTTTACATTTCAGTAATTTGGATTCACAGCAGAAAGTTCTACAGGCTACTGGCGTTTCCGTCTCAAAGGTAGCCGACGGCTTTGAAGTTGTAGGGAAATCAGAAAACGTCATTTTCGGTGAGTGTTTTTGTTTCCGTTCTTTTGTCAGTAACTCATCATTTGTTGTTGCTCATGCAGCTATTGCAAATGTGGAGAAGAAACTGTACGGTGTACAGTTCTACCCAGAGAATGACCTCTCTACAAATGGCAAAGATATGCTGAAGAACTTCCTATTCTACGTGGCCTCTCTCTCGGGCAACTTTACCCAGAAGTTTCGAGTGGACAAGAGCATCGACCGCATTCAAAAGTTGGTGGGCTCGAGCAAAGTTCTGGTGAGTTGAGTGTTATTTTAATTCCCTTTTTGATTCTAATGCTCATTCAATCGTTTTAGGTGCTAGTAAACGGTGGCGTCAACTCAGTGGTCAGCGCCACTTTTCTGGTGAAAGCACTAAAAGCCGACCAGGTGATTGCCCTGTACATTGACAGTGGCTTCATGCGCAAGAATGAGGGTGTTCAGGTGGAGAAGGCACTGAAAAGCGTCGGTCTCGACATGAAAAGTATGTCAATGTAGTGTAACGCTTAGAAAACTTAAAATTGACCTTCCTTACCTCATATCTTCTGTAGCCATCAAGGCCTGGCTGCAGTTCAGCAACGCCACCACGGTAATTTCCCTCTCAAAGGAGGAACCAAACAAAAAGGTGCTCACA